ATCAGACTCGACGGTTCCTCGAAGGACAAACTATTAAATTAATGTTTTAGAAGGCCGCATAGCAGCATCCTGGAATAGAGAAATATCCTGATTCGTCGGTCTGATACACGGTACTCGACTCGCCAACTTCTCGACTCGCCGGACACAGCAGGAAAAAGTGCGGTTCTGCAGTCGTTGCCGCAGAATGCTTTCCTGAGGTAGTAAGTGAGTCGTATCAGCATGCCAGTGTTTGCCAGCGTCAGGTGCTTTGAAGCCACCCTTTCTTCGCAGCTGGGTGCTCAGAGCGGCTCCGATCATGTGTTGCTGGTTGGGTCGTGGTCTCTTATGAAAGATTTATCACGGTTTGGAGTTAGCTGTTTTGCCGCGCCGTTACTGCACAGATAATTCATATTTCTCATATGCCATGCGGCTAGGAAAATGTGGTGTCCATGTCTTCTATGTAAATGTTAAGTCGGATGGCAAAGACTCAGAGGTGGATTTGCGATAATGGAGTTTGCAGTAGTCTACAGGGGGCTTCAGAATCGTTATTCTTCCCTCTCAGGAAAGGTCTGTCTTCATATTTAATTTACGAGCTTTTTGATATTCAAACCATGGACAGTCAAAAAGTGGTTTGGATTGGGTGTCTCAGTCTTTGTGGAGGTTTCACATCAGGCAATAATAATATTATATTAATACTCAGAATTATAAAATATTAAAGAGGAGAAGCCCTCAAGCTTCCTCGCATCAGGTCTTCCATGCGCAATCCTTCGTTGCAAGCTCAGGTCTGTTCATGCTTTTTTTGTTTGGGTTTAAAGGATGGTTCTCTTCAGGGCACAGGGTAAGTACAGTAAGTTCTTGCACTTGTGCAGTGGTATAATGGTACTGGACTCGAGAATGCACATTCCCTGTTTGTTCTCCTGGTACTTATACTTTTCTTTAGCGGTTGCCTTTGGAACCATCTTGTCTTGAGATGCTACTTACAGGTTTCTTCGCTTGTTACTTACATCTTCTGAGATTGGGGACTTCATTTGGGACGTTGTGTTCATCTGGTTTCCCATGCAACACTAAGCAACAGCTGTTGGCACTCGCAGGACATACACAGGACAACACATACACACACCCACACACACACAGAGTCTGTGTTTCAGCTGTCGGGTTTACACAGGGTGTGGGGTTCCTTTGGGACAAGGGTGGTTAGCAGCTGACTGAATGCAGTTTAGAATCATAGTTATACATGTCAGTTTGAAGACTTAGACACAAGGCCTGGGTCGTCAGTACACATTGCAACGGTCGTTCGGAGTTCGATGCAGCTTGCCTCTTGTAAAGAATGCTGGGTTTTGTAACCAGACTGTTCAAGGTCGGTTCCTAGGACTGTCCAAGCTCCTTTTCTGTGCACTTTGCATTCGAAGTTACTATGATTTAAGCTAGGAAGTTCAAAAGCGGCACCGCAGGACCACCCCGAAGGACTAGGGACAAATCATGAGTCCATGGTTCCCATGTAGTACTAACGTCGGCCTCACAAAGGTGACTCCGCTGGACTTCGAGTGGGCACACGTAGATCACCGTGGGCAGCCTAGCACTTGCCAGTGTGGAGCAGCAGCACAAGTCAGGCAGACTTTCATCTGAAGCATCATGGTCTGTCGTGGTTGGTGATGCTTTAGGTTTTTTAAAGAAGCCTAGACACAGAATCATTGTTATCATGCCGCTGCCAGAAAGCCCAAGCCACCTGCCACTGTCATCATCATTCCTCTCCCTTTCCTCGTTCTTTCTCGTCGGACATGTCGTCCTCCGGTTCCGCTGACCGAGCAGGACTTCCCCATGGACTCCCGTTTTTTCTTCGCCGTTCCACCGACCCGCAGGACGAGGTCATATTCGATTTTCGTGCGATGGACTATTACCTCGCGTCGGTCTGTGGGATGGAAGACCCAAGTACCATCCTGCAGCGTAATCTCGATTATTGCGAGCAGCTGCCGTCGAACTGTTTGGACTGCCTTCCGCCGGACATTGACTCGCAGGAGGATTTGCAGTGCTTCCTCGCCGATCTGAGCCTTGCGCAGGCATATTATTTCCGCACTGGACAACCCGACAGGATGCCCGAATGGCGCACCGAATGGCTCTCGACTGTCTTTGTACCCGAACACTCGCCGTACGACACGCAGCAGAAATGGGCGGACAGGCTCGTTACACCCATGTTGGTTGTAGCGTGGTTTCTATGAAGGTGCATGCTTTTAAAGCCATATAATATTATAATACATTGATTATTTTCCACAGAGCACATCCCGTAGGCTTTGGTCTTGGCTTGCTGCAACCGATGGACTGCTGTACAAGCGGCCCCCTGCCTTCGCGACACGGACTCCTCGGACGGTGAGTGAGAGAGACTTCTAGATTTTAATAGTTTGTGTTTCTGATAATTGAATTGTTCCCTAGCAGGAAGGACGACGGCTGGCAGATACTCGTCGAACACATGCAGGGCGATAAAATGTTGGAGTGTGGCACTCAGCTATGACATCAGCGCACTCAGTCATTCAAGCATTCCAGTACTTGCACTTGTGTGTGTGAGTGGTTAAACACGCAGCACCCACTGCCGGTCCAGGCTCTGCTTCAAGCAGATACTCGGGGCGGCCCAGCGCAGGACAGACAACGCCCTCTCCGCCGGACTCCATTCCCCGCTGTTCGGTTCCCGACACCCGCAATCGTGGATGGTCGAGATGCTGAACCGCGACTGGGAGGCCTACCCGGTGGCCGTCCCCGTTCCCTGGCAGGGCCACATGTACTACGCGGTGTCGTCGCACAACGCGTCGGACTTGTACTTCTGCATCACGAAGGGCCCCGACGGACGTGCAACAGCAGAACCAGTAAGATTTTTGTTGGTAAACCTTGTAGTATAACTGAAATACTTACCAAGTCGACAAATTTTCGGACATCGCTGGTTCAGGTGACACGATCGACTTTCAGTGCATCGGACTGTTTCTCAAGAAACTCGAACTTGGACCGGGCTCGTGGAACTAGCCGCAGTTCGTTCAAGCACGACGTACCCGCCGGCCAGTCTCCATTTGGAGTTCTGGAGCAGTTCGCTCTCGCCGGCCAGTCTCGAAAGTGACACGTTTTCTGCACTCGGAGTTCAGATCAGTTCGCTCTCGCCGTTCAAAAGAGTTGTCCTGGCACACTTTACATTTGCCGGATGTTAGTTCCTATCGCACTGTTTGCTGACTTAAACTTTTGCGCTTCAGGTTGCTGACATGGACTGGCACCTCTTTGGCGGGGTCCTCGGAGTTCTGGTGCTGCACAGTTTGTGACGATTTGCATCGGCACAGTTGCTGTGTTCTTTCCTGTCACACTCGGAAGCGACAAGTGCTTGAACCACCCGCAGTCACCAGTCACTCGTACTAGGTTTGTCATGTGCTTCATGCATTGCAATTGAGGTCGGTCACTCCTCGTTCGGTTCGCAGGGCACGGCCACACGGCAGGACGAGGACTAAGTCAGGGGTCATGCTTTCGGATTGTGACAAGGCATTCCGCGGACTCTGAGGTAAGTTAGGATCCACCTGCAGCAGACATGGAGCAATTGCCGTAGACATAAAGAGTTAAAGGCCTTTGAGCAATTGGAGTCCGGTTTGTTGCCTGGGTTGCCATTTCAGCATTTCAAGCATCGAGTGCATAGAATCGAGGGTGAGCGGTAAATTTTAGTGTTGGGCGTTACACATTAGATTTGTTGTTTGTGGCTGTGAATCATTAAGGTTAGTTCTGGCCTATTCATTGCGGGTGGTGTCTCCTTAACTAGATCTACTTACAGTGCATGGTATAAACCGATTTCACTTCTGGAAGTTCACCATACTTGTCCACAGAGGGGCTTCGGGTGTGGCTTGATTCAGGAAAATAATCATGAGGTGTACAACTCAGTACTACGACTACTACCACGACTAGTACAAGTACTACTAGCATTGGTACTGTACTACTACTACTACTACTACTACTACTAGTAGTACTAGTACGACCACTACCACTACTACTACTACTACTACTACTACTACTACTACTACTACTACTACTACTACTACTACTACTACTACTACTACTACTACTACTACTACTACTACTACTACTACTACTACTACTACTACTACTACTACTACTACTACTACTACTACTACTACTACTACTACTACTACTACTACTACTACTACTACTACTACTACTACTACTACTACTACTACTACTACTACTACTACTACTAGTACTAGTAGTACTACTACTAGTACTACTACTACTACTAGCTAGCCAGCTAGCTAGCTAGCTAGCTAGTACTACTATTACTTCTGCTAGCACTACTACGACTACTACTGCTACTTCTAGTACTACTACTACTACTACTAGCTAACCAGTACTACTGCTACTACTACTACTACTATTTCGACTAGTACTACTACTACTACTACTACGACTAGTACTAGTACTAGTACTACTACTACGACTACTACTACTACTACTACTACTACTACTACTACTACTACTACTACTACTACTACTACTACTAGTACACTACTACTACTACTAGTACTACTAGTACTACTACTACTACTAATACTTCTACTTCAACTAATAGGGACTGCAATTTCGGCCTACTGGTTTTTCCTTTCTTTAATGAGTAGTGGTACTGCTGCTAGTACTACTCTTCGCAATCTGGATTAGTATTGCTACGAGTAATTACTAGACCAGTAGTCAACCAGCTGGAGGAAGGCGCTCTTGCAATCGCTGTTGTCCTGTTCATATGGAGGACACGGACTCCATTGGCCGGCATCGCTGCCGCTGAGCCTTCTCGTTTCAGGCACTGTGCTCTCGTGCGGTCTACGCTTTGTGTCTTGCTTGCCATGTTCGTCCAGTCACAATGCACTGTGAGACCACCCAGCAGCAGGGCTTGATTGATTGTTTGGTTTTCCGAAGCCGTCCTGCCTGTGCGTTGAGACTTCGTGCAGTCTTATCATCCTTCCCCCGTCGTTCTTCCTCGACGGACCTTGCCCAGCATGCCTCGTGATGCCGGCCCCCGCAAGCCCACCCTCAAGCAGCTGGCGAAGCAGAAAGCGAAGGACATCAAGACCCGGGAGCGCAACGAGGCGACGTTCGCATCCGCCGTTCAGCACTCCAAAAGCACCATACTCGACGTGGACATGCGGTTCATTCAAGACACGCTGACCCAGAACCCGACTTGGATTTCTCCACTCGCTGGTCTGATCCGCTCGGGCTCGTTGAATGGTCTTCTGAAGGACGTTGCCAAGAAGGAGGAGACCGGTGGACTGAGATGGAAGGGCAAGTGCACCAAATGGGGCAGTTTGCCGCTTGAGATGGCGAGCTTAATGCTCAAGCATTGCGGTGTGGAGCTCGCGGAGGACGTACAGAAGGACGAACCCGTCGTACGGACCCTCTTCGAGATCCAGTTCTGGGCAGCCAAGTCGGCGTCCTTGCCATCTCGTGCGGACATTCGCTATCAGTCCACGTTGGTCAAGTTAGCGAGGGCCCGCATGGAGGACGTTGGTCGCAACTACATAGCTGCGGTGAACTCGGCGGAGGCTATCAGTGTTGACCGGGACAGGTACAACATCTGGTCACTTAGAACAACACGTTGTACTGCCACGTCTTTGCCACACAAGATGGACACCCTCGCCGTTCCCGCTCGGAGTTCGTACCCAACGAGTCGTACCTCAGCCACGAGCTTCCTACTCTCCCGGACAACAAGACGTGGCAATTGGACGACCCTTTTGCGGTGGACTGTGTCATTTCAGATGGACAGCATAACTCGTTGTTCAGTTTTGAATGCGCGAGTTTCTTTCCTACTTTGCCGGACATGAAGGCCAAGTGGACCTTCGACTTGTCGTCGGACGCAGACACCACGGCTGGCCTCGGCGACAATGTGCCGCAGGGCACCCCGTCGGTCCGGAGTGCATAATGCACTCTCTCCTGGTAGTTCAGTGTGTCTTGAGTTTGGGGTTGACTTTACTCGTTGTTCTGTCCAGTTTGTTCACTCGAAAAGCACAATGTCGTTCGCCTCGCCGTTCGACCCATTGTGTCTGAGTGAGTGGACAGGCACGAGTTTCACTGGGGCCGTGAAGCCGGCAACTTGCAAGCTGCATAAAAGAATACGTGCGATGAATGGCTGACTGCAATAATGACTTCCTTGCGGTGCCTTGCAGTATGTGCTACATACATGTTGCAGAAGAACACAGACCCATGACACGTGGTGTGAGCACTGCCTTGCGACATCAGCGATTCGTTGCCGCTGTCTTTGGGCTTCCAGAATAAAAGCTGCATGCCTGCAGAGCCTCCCTTTCTCTTGGTTTGGCAGATGTCACATATACTTCCTGGGACATAGCCTATAAAGTTTTGCTACATTCGTTCACCAGAAACAGACTGTAGAATTGATCCACTCGCTATCAGATGCTGGAGCCCGCTTCTGCCGATGGACCCTCTTCTTCAGGACCTCCAGCTTTTTTCAGCTCTGCGTCGGACAAGCGTCGGACAGTTGCATTTTGCATTCCCTGCGGGACACACGGAAGCCTCAAGGGCGAGAGCTACAAGTTCAAAGAGCCGCAGACCAAGGTAACGGATGGACATCGTTTTTGGCACATGCGTTGGTTTGTGGACTTCCTCGGAGGACACGAGTCTCGAAATTTCCTCGCAGGCAGTGTGTCGACGTTCAGGAACAAGCTCTTCACGATTGCATGGCCCTGCTGGACAGACACGGAGGACGCTCTGAAAAAAGAGATCGAGTCGCACTTTCTCCAGAGTTCGTTCTCCCTCCTCAAGCAGCAGGAGCACGCTGCAAACGCCGAGAAGAAGGGCACCAAACGAAAGGCATCCTCGCAGCAGATGCAGGACGACATGGAGGACGACAACGAGCAAGCGGACAATGAGGAGCACACGGGTGACCAGATGGAAGAGGTAGCAGCTGGACGAAGCACACGTTGTACAGAGTTTGCCACGTCGAGCTTTGCAACGATTGTTCTTTTGCATCAATGGCACCAGGGTATGCGCAAAGATGCCAAATGGAAGAAGCCGGCAGAGGAGGTATCCAAGCTGGCCGGGGAGTTGCTTCAAGGCCTCGCTTCCTTGTTCCTGCAGACCCCGCAGGACTTCTCATTCACGTGGGACGGAAACACTCTGGTGCTGCCGTTCAAAGGAGGTTCGCTGGACGTGGACGAGGTTGTACTGCAAAACAGTTTACTTGCTAAAGTACTACACCGCGATCGTTCCCGATTCATGGACGTGCTGCAGGATGTGAATGTGGACTGCACCCGTCGGACAATTGGAGACACTCGCAAGTCATCTAGTTTGAGGACGAAGTACTACTTGTTGGCGGCTTTGGCACGTGCCATGGATTCGTCGGACGACACGCATTCCTGCTGGACATCTTTGAATGTGAAGCAAGTGATGCAGCTTAGGAGAGAGGTTTCGATTCGAGGGTTTGGAGGGTTTGAAGGGTTTGGAGGGTTCCGGGGTTTTAAGATGTAGGGTTGTGTCTTGAAAGCCCGAAAATTGATATTCCCCCTGTTGTTTCAGGAGCACCTCCGGATATCGTCGGTCGTCCACGAGTTTTCGACAAGAGGTTGCGAGTTCATCGAATGCCACACGCAGGACACTTACCTCCACATTGCAAGGACATGCGTTCACCGTGCAGGACAGCAGCGAACAGCAGGACGAACAAAAGATCAAGAAGCACGCTTCTATGGACGCACACAGGCTAGCACGCATGGAGCGATACGCCTATGTCACGCAGGGCAAGTCAGATTTCCTCTCGACGGACATTTTGTGCGTGGTGGCAGATGCAGTGCACGTGGGAAGTGACGATTGGCTGAACATCATGGTGTACAACCACACGACGGACAAAGTTTGGGTCTGCCCGCCGCAGGCGCTTTTTTTTTTTGTTAAGCAACACATATTTCTGAGGCGTTTTAGGCAAGAGGCGAGGTACGTCAGAGCCTTGCTTAAGTTGACCTTTTTGGGTGCCGTTTTCGTAGCTTCTGGGTCCGACCAAAATCGTTTTTCCGAGGGGAGGTACACGTATCCCCGCTCAGGCTCGGTTTGGGGCGGAGTCTTTCTATTGTATTTTATATAAAGATAGGTACACGTATCCCCGCTGACCCCTGGGTTTCGGGATTGGCCTGATAAAGGCTCCCGGCCGCCCTTCTACTGATGAGTAGGTACGCACAGCCTTGCTTAAGTTGACCGGGTCCCGGGTGGAGGCCGAGGAACGCATTTCGGCCACATTTTGGCTGCATTTCGGCCCCCAAAAAGGTACGCCAGATCCCCGCTTAAGTTGACCGGCCGGTCCCCCAAAAAAGGGCCCCTGGGTGATTATATGGTAACAACCTCTGTCGTTTGTTTTGCATGCTGTTGCTGACAAGCTCTTCCTCTAAGCTTTGCTTCACATTTTTCTCTGTGTAGTCAGACCACGCAGCAGGTCCAGAAATCGTCCGTCTTGTCGGCTGAGCAGTGGAAAGCTATGTGGAACAAGGCTTCCAAGAAGTTCCTCGGGATCGAGAAACCCGTTGGACCTGGTCATGCGGAGGACCGGCTGGCCACACTGTCTTGGATGCAGGACATAAACCACGGCTTGCGACCCATTGGCTGGACTTTTGGCTGCTGCCAGAGCACGCCGGCCGGCCCCGCGGAGGACGACACGAAGGCTAAACGTGCACCGATCATGATTTTGTGCACCGACCAAGAAGCAACACAGCTGGCGGCTGTCTCCTTCTTGAGGAACAAAAAGAGCCTCTGGATCGAACACGTCTCGGACCCCGCCCACAGGTCGCACAACGACGTGGCTTTGGCCTTGTCGGCCGCTGGACTCCTGAAGTTCTGCACATGGTGCATCTCGCTGTACAACATCAGGTATGGACCCTGGCAGAAGGGCTCGTGGGCGTTGAAGATCCAGCAAGCCGCAAATCGCATGAAGGACAACATGGACCCCTCGGACCCGATATTGCTCCTTTTCTTCCCGGACATTCTGCTGGACGCCGGCCTCTCCCCCCTGGACGACAACACGGAGGAGAAACGCAGGTCGTTTTTGCAGACATTACCCGACATGGACTGCATCCGCATCAAGGGCACGAAGGCCAGCAAGAGTCGGTTCAATTCCCTGACGACGGCCCACAGCGCGCTGGACAAAGAGTGGTCGGTCTTGGCTTTAGTTCTCACGGTGGTCTGCTTGGAGCACAACTGGGCAGTTTCCACTAAGGACCTCTTCTCGCAGGACAGCAACCAGGCCCGTGCCTCGGTTCCATATGGTGGAAGCAAGTCTTCTGCCATACAGGAGGCCAAGCAAGGCATGGACCAGGAGCGGAAGGGCAGCGCGAACAGTCTACACTTAATGACGAAGTTCGTGATCTCGCAGGACAACAAGACGACAGCCAGGATGATGTTCCAGGTCTTGCAACCCGAAGAGCTTCGTTGTTCGCTCATGCTCAAGCAGCTGCGTTCCAAAGGCATGACGAAGGACTACTACTCTGGCTGGGCACACTGGTCTTGGATGAGCACTGCAAAGGACCACGTCAGGACTTTGTCGAATTTGGAAGGTTTATCTCGTGTCGGCCTCGACCTGACACTGGCACGCGCACAACCCCCGGAGGAGACAGAGCTTGTCTGGCAGGACTCGCTCGCAGGCCAAATGACGCAGTTGACACTACAGATCCTGCGGCTGCGGGCCGGGGCACAGCTGTACCATACTGGAGGTTTCGGTGCGACCGCAGGACTAGTCCATGCTGAAGAGCAGTTCCGTCGGGCAAGCTTGGATTTTTTCAAAGAGATGCAGTCTTGTATCCAGGACACGCACAGTGGTGGTTCTCGTATGGCAAAAAAATTGCTCGAAGGTCATTTCTCCCAAGGGCCGATTAGTCGGTACATCCTCGCCGATCTTTGCACTACCCGGTTTCAGAGCCTTACGGAGGACGTTGCACACGTATTGACCAGCATTTGGTCGGGCCTCTTGAACACGAAGATCATCGAAGACTGTAATAAAGTCCAGCGCGAGGCCGAGCAACGACATTCGTCTTCGAAGGACTTGGGTCGTTTGGACGGATGGAAGGCTGTGACCCAACAGGCCGTGGTCAAGATGTACGAGAGGGTGGAGGCACTGTCAACGGAGCTCTACCACACGCCGGCAGCGTTTGACGTGGCCAAACTTTTCTGCAAAGACACCGAGAAGAAGAAGATTCAAGCAGTTCGTCGTCGTTCCGATTCGTCGGTCAGCACGCAGGTCAGTGCCTCGGAGGTGCAGGAAGCACAGCTTCTTGCAGACGTGACGAAGACGAGGGACTGGGTCTCCCACAACCACGCCGAGGAACAGGAGGTTTTGGCTGCCTTCAGTTTACTGATGAAGGCGTGGAGGGCCAAGCGATGGTCGCTTTGTGAAGAAGGTTGGTGCTCTGGACTTTTGCCCGAAGGACATGTTGTACTGGCAGGTGCAGACCCGTTGTTCATCGTTCGGACATACCGTTTGGCTGCACTCGCATGGCCCGGCAAGATCGTTAAGGACAAGGACCATGAGTTTTTCGAATTCAACATGGGCGTTCGGTCTCTCTTTTGGATGCACAGCACATCTTTGGACTTGGAAGTGTTGCGGCTGCGAGTTGTTTCACCTCTGCGTGCCTCGGCTGCAGTACAGTTGAACATTGTCAGCCCGACACGGACATTCTCTACATATATATTCGTCCTATAATGAGTGACGATGATTGATTGACACGGAAGGCTTCTCCGGTTCAGATTGTAAGTTTCGGCCCGGGGGGGGGGTAGCACTGAAGCTATTTTTTATGGGTTTCTGAACAACTCAGGCGATTCGACAGTCAAGGATTCGAAGTTTCACAGAGTTAGGTTGAGTAGCCCAGGATGGCACGTGCGTCGAGGTTTTGGGTATTGACGAAAGGAGGGTGTGGTTGTGTGTACTGCTACCACTTTTTTGGCCATACTACTAGTGCTAGTACTAGTGCTAGCAGTAGTATTAGTAGTAGTAGTAGTAGTAGTAGTAGTAGTAGTACTAGTAGTACTAGTACTAGTAGTAGTAATACTACTACTACTAGGACTGTTGCTGAGATTCCTTCTACTACTGTAAACTACTGCGATTGCTTGTAGTAGTAGTACTACTACTACAAGTACTACTAGTAGTAGTAGTAGTAGTACTACTACTACTACTACTACTACTACTAGTACCAGTACTACTACTCCTACTACTAGTATTACTACAACTTCTTCTACTACTACTACAACTACTACTGCTACTACTGCAACTACTAGTAGTAGTAGTACTACTACTAGTAGTAGTACTACTACTACTACTAGTACTACTAGTACTATCACTACTACTACTACTACTACTACTACTACTGCTACTACTACTACTACCACTACTACTACTACTACTACTACTACTACTACTACTACTACTACTACTACTACTACTACTACTACTACTACTACCCTTTTCGAGTCTTTTTACCAGTCTTCCTAGTGATATCACCGCTTTTTACTGACCAGGCGCAAAACTTAACGATTGCGATCATTTTTTACTAAGAGTGTTGCTGCCGCTACTGCTACTGCTGAGGTCGTTCCACGCAGGGCAGCCACCTCAACAACGGCATCGTGTTTTTGGTGGACAAGAAGATGGGCACGTTGGACTTTCACGCCGAGCAGGGCTTCGCTGCCTGTTCTGAGGCTTTGTTGCGCAGGTTGTGCCAGCACATGGGTTGGACCGCCACCCAACCCAAATCAGGTGTGGACGCAGGACATCAGCTGGCTGTTGCCGCCATGCTCAACATGGACAACTCGTTGGTCGAAGAGGACGTGGTTCAACGAATCCTGGCAAGGCATCAGACTGACAAGTGGATGCCGGAGGTCGACGACAAGGACTTGGAAGCCGTCGTTCGGGACACGCTGCTCATTGGCGAGCAGGACAAGGCCCTCAAGGAGCTCAGTGCCCGTCGGTCCACGGTTTCGGCCAAAAGTCTACGACCCAAGGTATGCACGATGTACAAGAACGCCGTCTCGGACCTGGACAAGGACTTTTGGAAGGCCGGACAGGACACACGCCGACGCAAGACTCAGAAGGCCGAGAAGGACAGCAAAAAGCTAAAGCAGCAGTACGACCGGGTGTACGCAAAGCTGAATGCCACGACGGACGAGCTTGTGAAGAGCATGGTTCCTGATACTGTACAGGTTTGGACGGACCCAAAGAATGGTCGTTGGAAGGTGTCGTACAAGACAGCTGTAGTCAGCATTACACGTAGTATTTCATGGACACAAGTAGGTGAAGCTGCCGCCGGTCGAGCCTGTGTAACACAAGGTTGGTCATGGGTGGAGCACCACGAAGGACGTGACCCACCCGAAAACTTGCAGGAGCGATTGACAAGGTTCGACTCCTGAGTTCACTCGGACTTGACATGCCCGTGATTGGACTTTTTCTCCTCGTAGCACATCGTCGTTCAGCATCGATGCACACATTCGTCGGGCCCAAAAGAGGATTATTCCGCTTTGCACGCGTGTTTGATCCGTGCAATTGATGCTTCTAGTCAGACTTCTGTAATGCACTGCTACGTGTGTGAGACAGTGGCGGTGATGTGGGTTCAAGTTCAGGAGCATGTCGTCCATGCATTGAGCACGTATTTTAAGTAGGCCAGACATGTACTGATATGGCGAGCCAACGCGCCCTCACTCACCTTCTGTGTAACTTTCCCCACGGACACACAAGATAATGAGTAGTCATGTAGCGCAACTGGAAATTGTACCAGAAATGTTTGTACTTGAAACCTAGGTTGTTATTCTCGGTGGGAGTCCATGAGAATTCAGTTTTGTTGAAATAAATGGAACGGAAAGAGTCTCTGTACATGTCTCGACTCGTGGTTCCATCCTCGAAGTATTACTCGTGCCATGGTGGCCCGGCCGAAGTTACAGGAGGTGGGACTGTCACGACGACCCTCGGCATACGCGCTGTTCATGCAGGACATGTGCAAGGACTCTGTGGACCCCAAATCTCGTCGTCGACTGTCCCGGAAAACATCACTTCGCGGTTCAAAACATTATCTGCGCAAGTGGCTTCTTGGCTGCAAAATCAATATAGATACTGACACATGTGCCCCTTGCCTAGAACCCCAAGTCATCTGAAGCCACGGGAAGTAAAATCTTGGCAATTCTGGTCAGGAACCCGAATATGCCATCTTAGCTACGTACCAAAGTTATTTACTTCAGACATAATTAATAAGATGTAGCTAAAAGTCCTAATACAAGTCATGTTACTTTTTACTCGGGGATTACCTTTTCACCCAATCGTCCAGTAAAATTCCTCTGTTCCCCGAGGCACAACCGAAAGGACCTCCGTGACGAGTACACACGCAAGGCCAGGCAGGGCTACCAGGAGAATCGGGTCCAACGCGAAGAATTTCGACAGGCCAAACACACGGAAGTTCCCCCCGCTTCGTTCATGGACAGAGAACTGCCGGACGTCGCAGAGTCGCAGGACTTCGACGGTCGTGGCATTTTTCGCTACACGGCCGAGGACCCACTGGTGCAGGAGAAACATATGGGTCGCGGCACGTACGGGGAGATTTTCGCTTGCACGTACCAGGGCCTGAAGTTAGCCTTGAAAGTGGCCGTTCGCACGCCGGACAGGGAGACTGCACTGTTGGACGTGCACCAAGACGGTCTCGAAAAGACGTGGGACTTGACCCGTGAGTTCACTCTTTTGAGCCAGATAGGACCTCATCCGAATGTTCTGCGACTCTATGCCTTGCTGACATCCTCGACTGGGCACACGGGAATTCTAATGGAGCGGGCTTCCTGCGACCTCTTGAAGGCCACACGGGACTTGAAGACGGACGACCTTCAGGACGGAGTTCCCTGGAGCACACGACGAGCCCAAGTAACGACGTACTTTCGGCAGACACTCGCAGCTCTTACATTTGTGCACAGCAAAAACATCGTACATTTGGACGTGAAAACGAACAACTTCCTCGTGTTTCTCCTCGGCGAGCGGGTGGTGCTGTCCGACTTTGGTTTTTGCCGAGCTTTGCCACTCAATGGAAAAGCAAAAGTCAGAGCTGACGAAGTCTACACGACGTACTACCGGCCGATCGAGTGCCTTTACTCCGGGGACGGCAAGGCCTGGACCATGAATCCTAGTCGAAGAAAGTTGAAAGTAGTAAGCCCGGTGCGTATGTTCATTCTAGTAACACTTTATGATTTTGCGGATCTGAACTGCAGGACCAGATCAACCTCAGGCATTCCCGGATCCAACTGATGTCATTACTACTAGCAAACTCGCAATGGCCATTGTAATTGAAAACTTGACACAAAGATCTGATTCTTGATTCATAGAAGAGTCATGTCAGCACATGCAGTCGTAGACTCAGCTTCTTAGTCAAAGACATAGCCTGAAAAACTTCATATCTTGCTAGTAACAGCCATGTCTTTAAGAATTGACTTGTTTTTTGGCAGGAAGTATGACTATGTGTTTCATTTTGTTGTCGTTTCCCTTAACTGCTCAGCAGCTTCACTTTGATGAAAGAGGTGGAGATCGGCCCGAAGGCGGACATGTGGGCACTCGGTGTGGTGACGTGGGATTGCTACGCGAAGACGACACGCTCGCTGTTCACTCCCGACCCGAAGGGCTTCGTCAAGCACACGCCGACCATCTCACAAGCGCTCGTTCGTTTCCAGACTGCATGGCGCGAGAGAGCACGCGACCTGCACTTGCTGGACGACGACATCGCTGCACACGTTTTCGGTTCATGCTTCACATTGGAGCAGGACAGGCGCAGCTCACTCGATTTGTTGAAGGATTTGCAGGGCCGTTTCACGAGGACAATTCAGTCGCTGGACGAAGAAGAGGAGCCGTAGCAAGTCCCCGGTGTACGTAATGCTATAACTTTCCAACGTGTCTTTCGCAAAGTATGATTTTATGTCAGACAAGAGATGACGAATGTTGTCGCCGGTGGACTCGCCCGTGCAAGTTTTGCATGACACACGTTGTTCGATGACCCGATGTTTCGAATCATTGAATCAGTTCATTGAATCTCGTAAGAGAATTAACTTAAGAAGATTGCAGAAAACCAGAATAATGTATTAGACTTTGTGGTTGGGTTCTTTTTGTTCAGTTCCCCGCTGTCACACGATTGACGACCGACTTGTGCATGTCAAGGACGGCCCTTCGGCAAGGATAAAAAGGGCCGCTCATTCTGCCATTTGGAATCTGTAGGTTCTACAGAACATGTACATGCAGAGGCGTGTCTGAAGTCCTAAGGATAATACACCGCTGTTCCCCCACACTCCTTGGCTAGATGCTTTCCATTTCCATGTTGCAGGCCCTGGGGCAGAGGCCACACCCTTCTCACTCTGGCAGCGACACACGGAGCACTTCAAGGACGGTTTCGGCCGCACAGTTCAGTGCAGTCTTGGATGGAATGTTCAGATGTCCTATGTTTTGAAATGCTGCTTACACTATGATGTTAGTTCGTTCTTGTTGAATGTGGTTTTAGTTTTCGGTTGGACTAGTCGCAGAGAGGCTCCCAATGGATTTCTTTTACTGTCGATTTGGAAAGCTTTGTTTTTCAATGTTTCTTGCTGCTGCTGGAAGAATGGGGTCAACCTTTCCGACCTGGTTTCATGATGGTCTCCAGAGAGCCAAGTCAGTCTTCTGGCTCCAGAACATCATCTGAACAGTGCAATGCAGGG